AAATTAGCTGATCAAAATTGACTCTAGAGTATTAATTAAGTAAAAACATTTTCTCTCTTAATTACAGTATATTCATTCAACTGTTATGAATATTTTGGTTTGCTATTTGTCCTTGCAATATACTGGTGCATATTTTTCTTTATTAAAAGTAGTGATTAAGAAGCAGCTAAGGAATAATGCCTATCAATACTAGTGCTACAAAATTAAGCGAATTAGACGATTTCACGTTTTTCACTACTTTTAGAACGTATTCTTTCAAATGAATATAAAGTCGGATGATTATAACGCTAATACCTTTATACAAATGAACAATGAAGAGAAGAAAATCAGACATTATATTCACTTCATGTATCGTTGTTCTATTGAATGGGTTTGGTGATACTACAAACTTTTAAAGAACTTTAGAGAAGATGATTTGCCATTAAAATTGTGGCCTCATAAATTAATTAAAGGTCCTCAGTTCAAATCTCTCTTTTTCCTCCCTATTGTACAAATCTTATTCCTCCCCTACTAAAAGGGAAATAAAAAAGCCAAAAAGAAATGGTGATTTGCCTCAGCCTACTATGTGTTTTCAACTCTCCAGCAAGAAAAATGAGTATATTTTGGACATTAAAACTTCAACGTAATAGGGAATTGTTTTTGTTTTTTCAGACGAGCATTGAAGTCATACATCAAAAGCACAAGTACTACCGGACTTAATAATTTTAGTTACGTTCATATTATTATGTGAAGTTATATAAGGGGAAATTACCTCAAGAATTGTATGTTTCAATCATATTTATAGTTCTGCCTCGATTTGCATATGCTACCTTGATTTAGGGGTGGACTATAATATTTGTTATTGGAAATGATAAATGTTCTTTCATACAACCGTTTTCAATGTTTGAAAACTTAACAATTATTTTAAGCTGCTAACAATAGATATACTGCATTATAATTTTGAGTGTACATTATTACATGGAGCATTATAGTCAAGTCTGAACCGGTCAAAATAGAACCCTTGAGCCCTATAGGCCCTGGCCTACATGGGAGGAGAAGTAGGCCTACATGGGAGGAGAAGTAGACTATAGAGTACGAGGCCGAAAAATAGGATGTACATTAGAGGACAAATAAATTATTAAAAAGTGCCGCGTTTGCTCCATTTTCTTTCAGTTTTCTCCTTATTTTATGGTTGAAGTCTACCATTCTTGTTTTTTAAGTTTATGTTTGAAATATGAAACAATTTACTTAATATCCATCAGTTTTGGACGACGACAAGAAAGCTCAATAAAACCGCTATATAGATTAACGCCTTCCTATGGGGAAAAGGAGTCAGTTCAAACAAACTGCAAAACAACGCCTTATATACAAGCTCAACGCCTTTTAGTGTTGATAAAAAATAAACCAAGCATATTTAGAAGTTTAGTAGTTTTAAAATTATATTTATTGTTAGGTAACTAGATTAGAATTAGGTGTCAAAGTTGGTTTAGAAAATAGAGTTAAGTTATGGAATTAAAAGTAGAATGGATTTCATGTTTATGTAAATAGAACTTTAAATCCACGTTTGTAGTTTGAGAAAAATTGGTTTATCAATGAACTATTATTTCAATTTCTCCCTTGCCTTCCCTTTGTTCACATTGTGATTTATCTTCAATTTGTCAAATAGTTATTGTGGTCAATCAAAGACTTGCGTGGCTTCTTTTGTGATTGCTCAACCGCGTTTTATTCTTGGGTTTTTCCTTCGTTGAGCGATATTAATCACAGTTCCCATGGCTTGCTAAAAGTTCAGAGATTAAAAGATTTCGTTGCGTGTTTCTCTTGCTAACATTTAGGCTTTAGCACGCATCCCGTGGGATGCTAAATAGGAGAAGACACTAGCATTGAAACTTGATGAGCGCAGCTTATGCATACAACAATAAAATTCAATTCATAGTTAAGTTTTAAGTTTATAATTTCCTAAATTATTCCACATGTAATTTTTTACAAGTATATGAGTCAAAAGCGAGTATAGAGTACTAAGAGTCGAACTCTCACAGGGAAGATAGTTAATTATTCACACTACTAAAACTTGTCTATTATTTATACTATCAAAAAATGAAAGAAAAAAAAATTACACTAGAAATGAACAAGAAAATCACACTAGAAAGCTCCTAGGATAATCGAACCACTAATTACTTTTGCTCGTGAATCTCGATTAATTGATTATTATTACCTCGACTAACTATAGCGTAATTTTCCCAAGCATATGATACTCACTTTCGCTAGTGAATCACTTATACCTGTACCTAATCCATATCTACTTTTATGGTTATGAAATCAACTACAAACTCATAAAATTTTATGAAATTTCTAATAAACAAGTCACAAAAAATGCACCTCTACTTTTATGAGTGTACTATCTAGATTTAATATTTCTTTAAACTAGTGTTAAATCCCAATTCTCAGTGCAAATTTAACACTTTAAAATTATTATAATTAATGGCTAGTTAATTATGATTATAAAAGAAAAAGTACTGAAAAGTTTGCTCAAGATAATAGCATCAAATAACCAAAGAAATATAACAAACAATTCATAGATAGTTCAACCAAAACCCAAGGCATGACTCTTTAGCTAAATATAAAGCAAATGAAAATACAATCTAATCTTGTATTATAACTAACAAAGGAATCAAATACAAGAGTTAAAGTATTGGGAGAGATCAAACCCCTGTCACTAGAGCTCCACTTCTCCATCTTCTACCTCAATCCTCATCCAAGCTAGCTAAATACAAAGATGGGATGACTAATCTACTCCTATACTAACCTAATCTGACTTAAGATCTAACATCTAGGAGATTTTAGTTTTAGATCTACATTTTATTGGTGTTTTTCTCTCATTCTCCAACTGCAATTTTCGTCTATGGAGGTCCCTTTTATAGGGTAAGGCGAAAGAAAGGCAATAATTGAGCAAGTTGCATAAGTTGTGCAAGTGGGTCAAACTTTCAGTTTCATAAACAGCACTAGAACCGGCTCAAGTAGCTTAGGCTACACAGCTCAGGCTACAGGACTGGTTCCACCTCCCCTGTTCCCTGACAAAATTTTCCAGCTTCTGCCCTGAAACTAGCTTAGTAACCAATGCCGATTTTGAGGCAAAATAACTATATCAAGGAGGTTGAATGAGCTTTTACACAAAACATGAAATTGTAGCCCTTTGAACTACTTTCAAATGGCACAAAAATCATGTCATTTGGAGGTTTAGATGCCGAGATATGCCGAAAATACTCAAATAGGTCGGATGAGCATTGCAGCAGAAATTTGCTTTAGTAATTCGGACTTTTGGCTATGATAGTGTGAGAATTGGACTTTGATGACTTGATAAGAATTGTATAGCATTGTTTTAGTTTCAAAATGAATAAAGAATCATCTCAAACCAATACTTGTAAATCGAGTTATAGTCAAAATACCAAAATGTGTCATGTCTTCCAATCCATTTCTTCCTTATTTCTTCATTGTATCATCATTTTCACTTCATGTCAACTTCAAATACGCTTTAAATCATCAATAATTGTTCAAAATGGCTTGGCACTTAATTTCATTTGATGACTGACATGTTAAAACCTACAAAATATGAAGTTTTCACCACTTAGTACTATCAATATGCAACTTTTTTATTTTAACCACCAAATTCAAAAGTCAACTAAAAACCTAGTTATTCAACCTCTAAAACAACTAAAACACGCCAAAACCAACTTAAACAACTATATAAAAACATGCAAAACAAGCACTTATCAACTATCATCATCATCATCATCATCATTATTTGATTTAATAATAAACCTGCAATTGTATATATGAAACAAACCTCAATCCAAGACAAATAAGAAAAAATATGAAGAAAAATAAATAGCAGAGACTTTTTTTTTTTTTTTTTGCTTTGATCAACATAATGTTTCTGACATTTAAAGTTGTAGTGTAAATGACAAATTTGAGAGATGACAATAAGAAAAAATAAATAGGTATTTCCGTATTTTGTACTATAAAAGATTTGAACAAAACATAGGAATACCTTTTTTTTTTCTCATTTTGCCTTCTTTTAATTGTTAAAATTTATTATCTTTTCTAAAGTATTGATTTTACAAATATATTTAGTTAATAAAAGTGCAGAAAGAACTCTCGTTTGTTTACTATTTGTATGCATTTTGTTTTTAGTTTACTCGACTTTAAATCGAATAATAATTATGGAATTGTTTGAAAAGAAAATGAAAAAGCTATCAATAGAGCTCCTTAGAGGCTACTCTTTGGTCTATGTTGATTGGCATATCGAGATAACAGCAATAGCAATAAACAAAATCAGTACAACTTTTTGGGTGAGGATTGGATTGAGTTGTGAGAGGGAAGGAGTATAAGTACAAGTTTTTGAGTTCAAAGTCTCTCAATTACCAAAAAAAAAAAAAAAAAGGTTGTACAACTTCATTAGGAGGACAACATGGTCAATTTTTGTTAGTCAAATATACCAATTATTAAATACTTTAACTAAACTTTGTTAAAATGAGTTAATATGACAGCATGTCTAAATTTAAAATGAAAATAGATATTTGATCAAACCTGAAGAGGAAAGTAAAATTTACCTTTAATTACTTAGATTTGGCTTGATGGAACCATTTATTACCAAATATAAAAAGTTAAGGGACTTAGTGGACATATTTAAAAATCAAGGGACGAAATAGAATACCCCGTAAAAAAGTTGAGAACTACTGATCAAGACATTTATCCTTAGCTTCTTTTGGTCGGAGAAGGAACTTCAACCCTTTCAAAGTGGGACGACACAAAAAAAGCGTGATTAAAACCGCTTCCAAAAATTGAAACCTTCCTAATTAAAAAGCTACTAAAAACGGCTTCTATATAAGTTCAAAGCCTTTAGCGCACGATTCTAAATAGGATATAGCTTACGCAGAAACCCTTGAAACCTATGATTCATGGAAACCAGACTCTTCTTCCAAAATTAGCGGCCATCTTTTTCTACTACTTCGATCCTAGATTCAATGCCAATAGCAACCGTTCCAGATGAACTTGTGTACGAGATCCTGTTAAGGCTTCCAGTGATATCTCTGTTGAGATTCAAGCTTGTTTCAAAATCATGGTTGTCATTAATCTCAAGCTGCGAATTCGTCAAAGCACATCTCAAATTCAATGAAAAGAACCAGCAAGTCCTGTTTCAGGGCTATGATGCATATGCTCAAGCACCCGGTTTTTATCTCAAACATTATTCTCTTAATTCTTTATTGGATGGAGAGGTGGATCCTGCCGATCCTGTTAGCCTTTGTGACATCTTCCATGAGGCAACCGGCTACAAAGTTCCTTATTGTCGGGCGTGTTGTAATGGGCTGATTTTCACTGCCTTGAATTATAAAGATTTTCCCTTGTGGAACCCATCTACCCGAAAATTCAAGAAGTTGCCCTACTCAGGCTTACCAGAGGTTTCTGCCCCCGGTTGGACCTACTTTATGGCCTATGGCTTTGGATATGACGAGTATAGTGATGACTATAAAGCAGCAGTAGTAGTGTCATATAAGGATGCTCATTGCGATCGCACTTCACCTCAGGTAATGGTTTAGAGCACCAAAGCTGATTCTTGGAAAAGGTTGGAGAACTTCCAGGATTTGTGCTAAGTGGCTACTGCAGTGTTTTTGCACAAGGAAAAATCTATTGGAAGTCCACTAGTTATGATCGTAGTCCTATTATATCTCTTGATTTAGCAACAGATAAATGTGCAGAGGTGGAGGAACCGAATTATCATAGCCCATATTACACAAATTTGGGAATATGTGAGGGGAATCTCAGCTTGATCTGCCATAGTCGTGGTTCGCTTCCCTCTGAAATATGGGTTATGAAGGAAAATAGTGCTGGAGTATCTTGGATTAAGTTGCTTGGCAATCTGTGCAATGACTTATCAATAGCATTGCACATATCGTGCAGAGGGGAATTTCTGGGGGTGTTTGATAGTAGATTAGGACTTTGGAACTAAAAAGATCGTTCACTCAGGCGTGTCAAGGGAATAACTGAAGACAATATCACAGGAGCTTTTTGTTTCATTGAAAGCCTCGATTCACCTGGTTTTTGATAGTGCAGCCTAGACAATGGATTGGATATTGTCATAGATTTGTAGTTAACATTTTCTTGTGTCTTCATCATAGTCAATTAGTTGCTTACCCATTATCAGTGGCGAGTAATGTTCATTTGGAACTTCTTATTGTCCTCATTACTTTTGCTTGGAGCTGAATTTAAAAAAAAAAAAAAAATCTGATGTTCTTTACTTTGTTTGACAAATGTACTTTTCTGTATGATCCGGTTTACATGCTATGGTGGCGTTAATTTGTAGATGACTGGAGATTGAGTAAAACCTGAATGTGGAAATTACGTATACAACCTATTGCATTCTGCTGCTGATTTAGCTTTCTCATTTGTAGCTTTGAATTGAGGTGCTGGACTAGCATAATCTCGGTATACTGTTCGAGATTTCAAAATTGTAGGATCAATCATAATCTTGAAAATGTTGCTAGGATATCATTTTTACTTATTAATTAGAGGGTTAGTGTAGTGTGAGGCAAAATCATTTGTCCCTCTACTCTGTTTCATCCTTTATTCTTGAGTTCCAAAAAAAAAAAAAATTTAATGCCTCGGGCACCACAATAACAAATAGAAAGCTTTTTCTTTTTTTTTTTTAAGGTTAAGCTACATTTGGCAGTTCTAATGGAATATACACTGTGCTTAATGATACAAGAATTGTAGGTTTTAGGCATGAAGGCAATCCCTATAAGTTAGAACTATTGGTTGCTGCTGCTGCAAGCCAAACAAGAAGCAAAAACTAAAAGAAATTGGGTTTGTTACAGATATATCAAGTAGAGGAGAAAAACAGAGGAGATAATTGTTAGCAAAATTAGGAAGAATTGGAACTTCTGGTTCAAGTAACGCCAAAATTTAGCCTTGTCAAAGTGACGTGAAACCTCTTTGCCCTAGGATAGCAAGATACTAAGATTTTATCTTTTTCATCCTGAATTCTCGAGTTACCCACGTTAATTTTCGCCTTTACTTTTTGCTAATGAGATCCTCATCAAGTTAGCTTGCCATCATGTATCTAGTTTTGCATTTAGACCTGACAAAACATTCCTCTATATATTAGCTTCATTTGGATGGCTTAGTCACAGATTTTTTTTGCAGTTGCACAGGTAATGTTGGTTTGATTGTTCCTCAAATTTTCTGATTTTTACATCAGTTCAATTATGTAAAAGAGCAGATGCTTTTCTTCCCCCTGTCTACTTCTATGTATTTTTCCTGGTTTATCCCATGATATGATCATTTTTTCCACTGATTATAATATTGGTATAAATAAATGGAAACAGCATCCTGCCTGGAGATTTTTTTCACTTGCTTCGAAGATGTGGTGTAAACTAGATGGAGTAACACAGTTTTTACTCTAGTATAGTGCAGAGAAATTATCATGAACATGAAAGTGTCTAGCCTCACTAGTCACCACCATTATCTGCTAATTTGGACCGCATTACATGGAAATTCACAGATCCTGATTTGTTTTTCCCAATTGTTAGATTAATTATCAAATGTGGCTTTATCAGCATTGATACTCGAAAGATCCAACACTTGGTCACTAACCATTTGATTATGTAGTTGAAAGAGCAGGTGCAAAACTTAGTGCTATTGGTTTATCTTCACCCCTTACTTTATAATCAGGATGAACTTCTGAGATCGAAATTTAGAAGCATGCAACTTGGAATTTTTTAAATCTGTCAAATTCTTACCTTCTAGTTATTATGTGCTGCTTGAATCTTCAAAAGACTTTTAGTTGACCATGAAAGGTATTTTTTTTTTCCAACGCTGCTGTTTTACTTCATAATCAATGCAACAAGTTTGGTCTTTTTAAGAAGAAAAAACTAAAATCAGATAGGGAGAGGGACAAGTGGGGGTTGCTGAGAAATTACTGCTAGTGCTTTAGAGTGATTAGAGGAATTTTTTTCCATTTTCTGTCTTCCGTATATACATCGAATGTTTGAAAATATGGGAAAGAAAAAAGATAAAGAGAAAAGGAAAATGATTGAAGTTGACAGAAGAAACAGAGTTAGTTAGAGATAACAAAGTCATCATATGAACATACCATGCTCTAAATTTTAATCCCCTTACCCGCTCTCCGTTTTTTAGATCCTACCCCTTCTTTATTAGAAAAAATTAAAAACAAAAAAAATATCATGTGCTAAGAATTGTTTTATCATATGCTAATCACTAGTGCTAGTCAATCTGCTAAATCCAATCAAAGCCCTCCACCTTGGATCTGGGTAGCTAGAGAAAGTGTCAAGAAACTGAGGTCATCTAATTTCTGTAGAATAAAAAAACATAACACAACTTCAAAAATTTCTGTTTTTTTTTGAGAGCTTTAGTTTCTTCATTGATCATAGCGTTAAAGTTTCTACATCACTTTCCTACTCTATCACACTCCAGAACCACTCCAACTGTGTCCAAGTTAACTTAACATGTTCAGCATTCTGCTATTACGTCTCCAAAGTCTCTAGCCTTGACGCAGTCCAAGCCTTTTCATGGACTCTTCTTTAGAAACCTTAGTCAATTTAGAGGGGACATGCATTTAATATGGTACTTCTTCTTTTAGCTTCATTTTGGAACAAATAATAGCAGATACCAGCGGTAAGACTCAATGGAAGCCGTTCACACATGACATAACAATTGTGATGTTAGCCTTTCAATATGGATTCCTTTTCTCCATTGACCACAATTGTGATGTTGGCCTTTCAATATGGACGTAGCACATATTCCAAGTCAATATTGAAATTAAATAACATTTTCATAGTAAAATATGGCCAAATTGAACATAATGGAACAGCAGCAATCACTTTGTCCTTATTACTAGCGTAAGACTAGGTATTTGTTCTAGTGATAGTTGCTCTGTCGCTACTGGCTATTTGGTCCAGTGGTCAGTCAGGGGTTCAACCCCTGTCTCCCACAAACTTGCCACCACACCTTACGTGGCTGGTCTTCTGCCCCCACGGAATAGCTTGAGCGGTCCGCTCCTCCTTCTTAGGATATGACGACCTTCCTGATTTATCTAGGGTTCGAGTCCCGTTGTTAACGTACTCGGTGTAGAGTGGCCCCTAAAACAGCTTGGCTTGTAACAAGTTAGCCTGATTCAAAAAAAACCAACAATAAATAATTTGATTAAGGAGAGAAGACAAGTTGATTCCACAAATGCCACTCATATGTTAGATTAGTTAGTTAATCTAGTACAAAAACATGAATTGTTATTTTTAATCTGTCACATAAAAAATACCCTTTTTTAATTATTTGAACTTATCAATCAAGCATTCAACAATAGGTGCATTTTTAAGATCTACTGCTGATCAACTATTATCTTACCGCAAACAATATAAAACATAGTGAAGATTGATATGCTTTCACTTTTTTTTATCAATATCTACATGACAGAAGCTGTACCTAGATTCTAATTCAAGAACACATATTTTCCATGATCATACAACTAGCACTCGAGATATTCAGCTAAAAACTCTACATCGTACTGCTGATCGTCAAGGAGTTTGTTGCAGAGAGCATAAAATAGACAATGGCATGTCATGTTTTCCAATTTATGCATGATCAAGCCAATTGTTTTCACTTCGAGGACCGTTTTTGGCATGATAAAGAAAGAATTCAGAATCTACAACTAAAAACAACAACAATTCCCAAACTTTAACATTAGAAAAGTCTTTTCTCTTACCTTAATTAAGATATGCACACCGTCAGTAGATTGTTGACAAGAATTAAAGAGCAAGTTTCCTCCACTTGAAGCCTCCTCACACCGTTAGCTACACAAATGCTATTGCGCAAGCTCTATTTCTCTTAAAAAAAAAAAATACCTACTTCTCTATTTCTCTATCTCTCACATCTGATTTCTTTAGCTTTTTGTCAAGCATATCAATCAGAAAAAGGATGCCTCGAATTGGCGCCCTTTTTCTCATAGCAAATTAGAAATTTTTTTAGTTCTAAATTGTGAATATTTCTATTAAAATTTGATTAATGGCCGATTTAATTAATTAAGTCCATGTAATTGTCAAATACTATATAAACTGTAAGGCTACTACAATTACTTCACCAGGTCTGATATAAGCATTGGGACCCAATTTTTGATAAGAGAGGTCTCTGAAATTTTTGAAACCTTGAAAAAGGTCGTGCAATTATCAAAAACCTCAGGAGAGGTTTCTAAAATTATTCCTATGTACTAAGATAATTATTGAGATTAGTCAAAAATAGAAATTTAACTATTTAAAGTATAGTAATGCTCTCAATTTTATCCTCTAATAAAACATATAAAATACTTACTATTTTCAAAAACCTTCACTGAGGTTTCAACAATTGCACTTATGCACTAAGAAAATTTATTAAGGTTAGTCAAAAGGATAGAAATTTAACTATTTAACATAGAGTAACACTCTCAGTTTTATCCTCTAATAAAACATTTAAAATATTTCTTGTGATTTTACAAAACCTTATTGATTTTTGTGTCGTAGTAGGAGAGTATAGAAAAGCAATATGGAAATAAATGAAGGAAGAGAGACAGAGTTACTGATCTCCTCTTGAATAAGTAAACTTTAACACAGTTATCATGGGACTTCACTTGCAAATGTTTCAAATAGCCAGAATACTCAAGCTGAAATGTCTATTTTGAGAAAGAAGAAGAGTACAAATCTTATTAAGGGAAAATTAGGGGAAAACACTGTAGCACCTCGCCAGCTATTCTACAATCTTTTCTATTCATACGTTTACTTCATCTCTTAATGCTTAACTAACGAATATGGTGACTTTATCTAGAATATCAATTAGTACTTGATCATTGAATTTGATAAGTAAGGGGATCAAGAAATGGTGATTACCAAGTATTTGCTAAAACATTGTAAATCTAATATTCAAATTAATATACATACTACGCCACTTTTTTTTTATATATTTATT